ATCATGATTTATTTCTAAAATTTATATCAATCTCGAAATGGCTAGCTTTCTAACTCGTCACTTCCCGTGGTTTCCCCGTCCTCGGTTTCACTTCCCGAAATGGTGGACAAGGAAAAACTATGAGATAAACTCAGTAAGTAAAATATGAAGTGCCCTTAATTAAACTTGTAGCATGCCAACAAGTATAATCATGAAAACAGATACGGTACGGGAACAAAATAGACGTCTCCTCTATAGGTCACGACCAGTGTATAATCCCCACTAGCAGGGCCACAATTTGATGGTGTATAACCCCCACTAGCTGGGTTGAACGAACCGGCTCTATCACTACATGTCGACATGTGCTAGCGTTTATAACCTCCCCCACTAGCAGGGTCACGAATAACATGACCACATCGGAGACAAAACAGGCAGAAGTTAATAGGAAAATCACGACTCACAATCACTTTCAGATCATCAGGACAGTCACTCAAATTTCAAGTAGGCATGCTCAATTTCATGAAAAGCACAAAACATTTCACTTCAAAATCAGTCATACTTGTGTAAAACGGGTTTAGTCCCGCCACCACTTCAAAAACAAATCAAAACATGCTTTTAAAAACAGTACAGGCATTACCATAAATTTACTTACCTCACTCGCATAAAACCGAGCACTCAATCTTAGTGCTAACTGATAGAACGATCGGAAACCTAATCAAAATATTTCAAGAATTAATACCACTATCACAAATTCAAGGTAAACTCATCATTAGGATCATTCCTAATCACAATGCTATTTCCATAAATCTCCACATTATCAGATATCTCCAAATTCGTTCTTATATCACAAACTAATCACTTAAATCCCCGTTAATTGTTGGCCCTCGGGGTGAAAACAGTGCCCATGAACAGTACCCCCGACGTGAACAGTAACTCCACTTCCAAAATTAGCCAAAACACTAGCTAATTCCACAGGATTTTCTCCAAAAATCACACAACAATCAATTAACACTCAATCACATAAATCCCACTTCAATTAAGCTAAATCGTGGTCTAATTACTATCAATTTTCTCCCCTAATTAATCCAGAATTTCAGACACAAAGGGCAGCAATTAAATGGCTAAACTTGCACTTAGAGAAGCTGCCACATACCATAAATCCAGCAAGCAAAACCGGAGTGCAGATTAGGGAGGAGGCCGGCGGGATCTGCAAGGGGAAGCTCACGGAACTACCCAAAATTGAAGGAAATAAGAGCAATCAAAGTTAACCCAAGCCAATTCAAGCAAGAACAAAGGAATTAGGGGTTGTTCTTACAGAAAAAAATGCCCAGAAATCACCCACAATCAAGAGCAGCCGGCGGAAAGACAAAGCAGAGCAGGGCAAATCCGGCTTTTCCAGCAGGGGGGAAGATTTCTGGGTTCTAGGTGTGTTCTAGAGCAAGAAAAGAAGGAGAAAACCAAGCTTATCTCACCGGTTTCCTCAAGGCATGGCTGGGTTTCCCTTTTTTTTTTTCCTCTCGGGCTGCAGTAGGAAGAAGAGCAGAATCGGGTCTGAGGAAGAAAAGAAAGAAAGAAAAAGAAAAAGAAGGAAGCTGATCCTTATCCTAAAATCTTTCCCTCTTTAAGTCCCTCAACTTTTGAAATATTCACATTAAGCCCCAAAACAATCTTTTCTCACAATCAAGTCCCAAACTTACACTTAAATATTCCCAAAAATTTGGGATATTACACTCACCCCTCCTAAAAAGGAGTTTTCTTCCCAAAACTCAAATTGAGGACCATATCAAGTGGTGAATGGCTTCACACAATCCAAGACAAAACAAATGTCTCACCAACTCTTTATGAACAGAACACGACCTACTATGCTTCCGCTGCGCCACTCTAATAACAAATCACGACTAATCTTAAAAGCAGAATACTAATTACTTAACAGGGTTTACCATGAAATGAGCTACTAGAGGCTGGGGTGATATGGGAAGCACAACGAATAAAAATAAATCCTGCCAAAGCCACAAAAGAACCATTGTGGGGTTACGCTACGAACCCATCACAAGACGAGTTGGCATAGAATGGCATGGATTTAAAGACAATTACAACAAAATTTGAACTCTATCAAAGACAGAAAAGCATCCAATGAATATATGGATCATGAATGAATGAACAAATGCCTGGATGCCTTATAAATTCTGCCACAAAACAAGGTTAACCCATAAGTAGGGTCATGTTTAACAAAGCAACTGGAATCAAGAAACAGATTTTAGCAATTAACAAGAGTTAAAAGCTAGGACCATCAAAAGACATGTAAGAATCTCAAGAATTGCAACAAAATAAAATCAATAGGAAATATGAATGCTTGGAAGAATATCGGAACACAAGAGTGCAAGGTAGAATGCCTCAAAAATTCAGCAACAAAATGGCATTCACCAAGAATCAAGATCAAATTTAACCAAGCAGTCAAAATTGAGAAACAAGAGTTAACCATGAAACAAGCAATAGAGTTCAAGGATTAGGCCCACAAAAGAGATTTCAATAATGACAATCAGAACACGGATTCAAGAGCAAATATAATCAGGATGTCAAGATCTAGCACCTCAAGTACTAGAATTAATTAACAGAACAAAGCAATGGCTGGGATCAAGATGTTTAAAAGATTACCCCTTTACCTCGCAGCCCATGGAGGCTGAACAGGTTTACAATCAAGTCATCCTAGACATCCTAGAGTCAAGTCAAAGCTAAGACATCAAGGATACAGAGATTAACACTTGCAAGAGACAAGAATTTAGAATACCTCATATAGGTATCTTCTGATAATCGTCACCCCTCCTAAAGAGGTGTCCATATGAACAAAAACCAAGAATCAAGAAGATCAACAGGTATACTGAAACAAGAACTAACAAAATATGCAGAATTGAGCAAGAGCAATATACCGAATTTGAACAAGAGCAGTATACAGAATTTGAACAAGAGCCAGTGTCAGAACAAGAATGGTTTTCAAGGTCAACTCAAAATAGATTTCAAGAACAGTGCAAGAATTAATTTCAGACAAGTATCAAGATAATGAGGATTTCGATAATCATTATCCATTTTTGGATTTCAGTTTCAAGAACAAGTACAAAGCAATCTCAAGAAAGATTCAAGACGGATTTCAAGAGTTGCAAGCAGTTTCCAAGTGTCAAGAATGTAGAGATTGGCAACAATAGAGAGTTTAACTTTATGACAACTTGCCAATCTTCACAAAAACAAGGCAATTTCAATTGAATTGATCACTGCTCTTGATTAACCAATATAGAAGAATAAGCCACATGAAAAGACCATGAAGCTCCAAACGGAAAAAGTGAAATTTTCACTATAACACTTTCAGAAAATAAGGAGCAACGAAATTACCAAGTAATCCAGCTCCTAAAACGCAGCTAGAAAACACACAACATTTGCTAAAATAGCCTTGAATCTCTTGCAAAGTAGAGGGTTTACCCATCCTCCACTGGTCATGTGACAAACAAAACAAATTTCTCAACTAGCTATGTGGTAGAGACCGACAGGATCAATAACAAAAGATCTTTACAACTCCCCAGATTTCACAATTGTGGCAAGAGCATACAAAAATTCTATTCACGTAACAAGTCTAAACAAGTGCAGACTATCAGAAAATGACCAAGTTCAAAACAAGGTCTTAAGAACATAACGGGCAAGATCACTTTCACAACTTCACACAGAGTATGAAGGCAAGAAACAAGAACAATCAGATTACCATATCTTCAAATGGATTAGCAAATTCAGATAACATGAATCAGAATCGTCCCTTATATAACCCCATCACTCGTCTCACCACGATTCTAAAATCCACTGGCTAGCCAAGTCCAAAACAAATCCTAGGTATTCAATTAAACCTAGGCTCGGATATCACTCAATCTGCTCAATGCCACTCAATCTGGAGGTGCTTAATTTAATCTTAAGCTCTTAATTTCAACCTAAGCTCTGATACCACTAAATCTGTCACGCCCCAAAACCCAATTTCGAGACGCGACAGACGCCGTGCACTCGTGAGACGGGTCCCACAAATGCACAAGGCTCAGAACTTATCATATCACACTCTGATACCACCAAAATCTAAAGATCAAATTATAAAATTCTCTCTAATATCATAAAATCTCCAAATACAAGATCATGATTTATTTCTAAAATTTATATCAATCTCGAAATGGCTAGCTTTCTAACTCGTCACTTCCCGTGGTTTCCCCGTCCTCGGTTTCACTTCCAACAGAATTCACTATCCACAAGCTCAGCACAGATCCTACTAAAAAGCTAGTGGTTCAGAAATGTTGCCTTTTTGGCCCTGAAAAGCAAGCTACTATAGATGAGGAGATACAAAAGTTACTATAGGCAAGCTTTATTAGAAAAGTGGAATATTCAAAGTGAGTGCCAACCTTGTGCTCATCAGAAAGCTTTATGGGAAATGGAGGATGTGCATAGACTTTACAAATTTGAATGACGCATGCCCCAAGGGCCGTCACCCGCTACTTAATGCTGAAAAGCTAGTCGAGCAAGCAGCTGGTCACGAGTATATGAGCTTTCTCAATGTAAGCTCAAGATGCCATCAGGTCCAATTATTGCTAGATGATCAAGAAAGAAATGATATTTTATGTTGGAGACGTTATTTATGGTTATGTGATGATGCTGTTCAAGTTGAAAAATGCAAGGGTTACATATAAAAAATTAGTCCAACTCATTTTCAAACTTCAGATTAGCAAGAACATCAAAGTATATGTTGATGATATAATTGTCACTAGTTTAGAAGTAGAGAACCACATTGCCAACCTGAGTGAAACATTCCAAAACTTGCGCCGCGCATAAATGAAACTAAATCCCTTGAGTTACATATTTGGTATTGAGTCCGACAAATTCTTGGGGTACGTGGTCTCCAAGAAGGGGATTGAGATGAACCTAAACAAGGTTCAAGTTATTGAACAAATGAAGCCCCCTAAAATAGTAAAAGATGTGCAATCCCTGACAGGCTGTCTTGTTGCCTTGCATAGATTCATTGCTAGGTCAATAGAAAAGTGTCTTCCATTTTTTAAGACCCTAAGGGACCCTAAAAACTTTCAATGGATGGAGGAATGCCAACAGGCTTTCGAAGACCTTAAAAGATATTTAGCTTCACCATCCTTGCTTTCCAAGCTTGTTAAAGGAGAAATATTATACATATATTTAGAAAAAGAGGGTGAGGCGATAAGCTTGGTTTGTTGAGAAAGCAAGACGAGCAACAAAGACCTATTTATTACACAAGTAAAGTGTTGCAAAGCACTAAAAGAAATTATCCTATTGTTTAGAAAACTACTTTTGCCTTCATTTGTGTTGCTCGAAAATTGAGGGCATACTTTCAATCTCATCAGGTAATTGTTTTTACTGATCTACCATTGAGAAAGATATTGCAGAAGCCTGAACTCTTTGGCCGCCTGATTGGTTGGACCGTAGAACTCAACAACTATGATATCAAGTTTAAGCCCTGCACAACCATAAATGGTTAGGCTTTGGTAGACTTCTTTGTTGAATGCCAACTGGTAACTGCAAAAAGAGCCATGTCTTCTAACCCCATATAGGCTTTATATGTAGATGGAGTCACAAACGTTGAAAGTTTAAGGGCTGGAGTAGTGTTGATTGACCTTGATGGTTTCAAAAGTGAGAATGTGCTAAGATTCAAGTTTCAAGCAACTAATAATGTTGTTGAGTATGAAGCACTCATTTATGACTTGAAATTAGTCTTTGAACTCAAGGTGTAGGATATAAGGGTCTTTAGCGATTCCCAGCTCGTTGTGAATCAAGTTAATAGCAACTATAATATTAAAGATCTATAGCTAGCCCATTATTGTTCTATGGTTACTCAATTGAAAACTAGCTTTGCATCATTTTAGATCAACAAAATACCACGAGCGAATAACCAATGAGCTGATGAATTATCCAAGCTCGCCTTTTCATAAGAAATATCTCCTTGACAAACAACATATGTCGAACTGTTGAACACTCTAAGCTATGTGGACCTTCTACTCGACTGCAAAATACTAAGTACTGACCCATCAACATCAAGCTAAACCACTTTGTTAGTTAATTACCTACAGTCTAGTGAATTGCCTAGCAACACGTCCAAGGCTCAGCTAGTTAGACACAGAGTAGCTCATTTCACCTTATTACAAGTCAATTATATAAGCAAGTAGCATCAATGCCTTAATACATTGCCTTACTCCCTATGAAGCTAAGTATGTTGTTAGAGAAGTGCACAAAGGAGTATGTGGAACCCACATTAGTGGTAAAACTTTAGCTTGGAAACTCCTCAGGCAAGACTATTACTGGCCCCATATGTCAAGGATGCGCAAGACTATGCTAGAAAATGCCTAACCTGCCAGTTTAACTCCAATGATATTCACGTGCCAAGTAAACTAACTCACTTTGGTTCAAGTGCATAAGTCTATTCATGCTTCCACAGTAATTAAAAACTATCTTCCTTGACTTTCAAGAGAAATGTTATCATCTTTCAACTCACCTTGGCCTTTTTCTTAATAGGGAATGGACTTGCTCAATCCTTTTGTTAAAGGCAAAGGAGGTTGTATACATCTTATCGTTGTCGTGAATTATTTCACTAATTGGATAAAAGCTAAGCCATTATCTATGACAGCTAAGAAAAAGGTGGAAGAGTTCTTATTCAGCTTGATGTTATGCAGGTACAAGGATATAATTAAATCATGTATACCATATATGCAAACATTTACCTTATTACTTAGCCAATTTGTCGACATATAGGTTTGGCATTCCTCAATGCATTATTGCTAACAATGGCCCCCAATTCTGAGCTATGACCCTTAGGTCATTTTGTGAAGACTATGGGATTGAGCTCGTCTTGACCTTTGTTTACACACCACAAACGAATGGCCAAGCGAAGTTTGCTAATAAGGTTGTTTTGGGCAACCTCAAAACACACATCATTGTTGCTCAGATGAGTTGGGTTGACGAGCTAAATAAAGTCCTATGGTCATGCCGGACAACACCCAGCTCAAACATATGAGAAACCTTATTCTCCTTTTCCTATGGAACTAAAGTCGTTATCCTCGTTGAGATAAGCTTGCTGAGCTGGAGAGCTACGTAATTTAAAAAGTCTATTAACAAGCAGTAACTCTATGAAAATATAGGCCTTATTGAAAAGGCAAGAGATATTGCTCGAATGAGAAACATGGCCTATCAAACTCGCGTGGCTAAGTTCTACAATAAAAGGGTTCATAGTTGTTTGTTTCAAGTGGGTGACCTAGTTCTACGTAAGGCTAGGCTCATCAATGCTTATTTACATATGAGCAAGTTCGCCCCTAATTGGGAAGGCCTTTATAAGGTAATGGTTGTTAAATGACCTAGAACTTACCTATTGGAAGATTCACAAGGTCATCCTCTACCATTCACATGGAATGTGGATAATCTTTGGAAATATTACAGTTAACATCTATCATAGGCTTGTTAACATAAATTGTAACATACATTCATACATCAATAAAATTATGAATTTTGCAAATAAGCTTATCCAATTTTATTTCACTTTAAATGCAATTTTCAATGACATTAGAACGAGCTAAAATAACCAAAAACATTACAAGATATTAAAAACCCAAAAACCAACATCGAGTGCTCATCTTTCTTAATCATCAATCAAGTCCATTAAATGTACTGGTGTTGTAGAAGCATCACAAGCTGGAATAAGAGCGAGTTGAGATGGTGACAGAGTGTAAGAAGGTCCAGCTTTAGCATCAAGCATTCCAGCAACTCAATCATTGAAGCTTGGCAAAGAGTCTAGATCTTCCCCTTCCTCAGGGATACTTGGAGGAAACAAGTGCGACCTCTCTTCATCTAAGTCCCATTTGAGGCACACCGTTGTGTCAAAAGGAGGGATCAAACTTTTCCCCTACTCGTCTATTTCTTCACTATCCATAAATGTCAACTCATCGATTGAGAAGTCAAGTCGATGCTACAATACCTTGCTACGAACTTTGTTATAGATTTCAATTGTAGTATTCATTGATGCAATAGTTATAGCATCATGAAAGGCATCTGAACTAAAGAATCACTTTATTCCTTAGGCTCAGGCAATACTTATGGAGTGTCGATGAGACCTCTTCGTTTGGTTCATGGCTTTTTGAGCATGTCCAAGATTTTAGTTCGCCTTAGCAACCCTTGACTTTAAGGCATTCAGCTCGATCAAGACGCTGTCCCTTTTAGCCTTTGCCTTCCTCACATGCTCCTCAACCCATTCTTTCTGTTATTTAACGGTTAGCATTTCACTTTCCTTCTCTACTTGGGCCCTCCCTAACTCCTCTCTCAGCTCCGTTAATTGATTATTTAGCTCATTTGCTTAGCTCTCAGTCACAACAGCTTTATTCACCATTTTAGAGCTTTACAAACAATTTACCTTTTCTTCCAAGCTGGCCTTCTCTAAAGATAGGCGTTTGTAGTTTTAAACCAACTCACACATTTGCCCCCCAATTGCTTGGTTGCACTCGAACAATGCTATCATGTAGTTGAAATCCTATCATTCAGCTCGTACAATTATTTTTAAAGAAAAATGTATGAGGCAGTTAACATAAACACTCAACAGCAACACTTACATCCATTAGTTTATCATTATAGCGCCACCCCTATTCTGCTACACATAGCCTTTGGTCCTTTGTTGATCCATAGAAGGCACGAAGTTATGCATTCCTTACAACATCACCATATGGCAATCAACCTTAGTATAGCTACAACCTTCAGGATATATGATCCTAGGGCCAAGCACTTGCGCCTACAACAACCCAACTTCGACAACACTGTTTGCGGGTAAGGAAAACATCAGATGAGCGTGTAAGGGTGGGGTGAGCCCCAAAACTCGATCACCACCATATAAGAGGTGGTATATCATTCTCAACGTCCACCTCCTCCTGTGGACGCCTTCAAGAGGCTAAGGGTGGAGTTCAACTTTGTGCTTGACGTGGACCCTCACAGACAAGTTGGAACCCCATTCTCTATGTGACAAGCTATGAGGTTGATCCGTTGGTTATTCATCAAAATGAGTTTACTTGTGGGAGCTGACATCTACATGTCTACTCCTAAACCTTTGAGCTTGTTCATGCTATCTCTCTAGAGCACTACTTATCTTTCCTACACAAATAAATACAATAAGACTAAGCTTGGTTGAAACTTCAAATTTACAAAAGGAATATATCTTCAACATAAAGGTTTGTGGTATCCACCAACCCAAATGCCTCTAATTGCTTTGAGGTAACCAGGGCCTTCAAATTCACCAACCCCTTTTTTAGAGCATAACGTTGTAGCCTATTTTTTTAATCTACATCAACTAGTCTCAACGTAGGATAATTCATATGTCTCGAGAGAATGCCATTAAGATATTTGAGCAGCGAGCTCATTATTCATCCTTTCTATTTGTGTGTCATGAACAAAAATATATTATCTCTTCCACCTTGACACTTTATTTTTTATTTTTGTAAAAAGAATTATTTTATCCCTCCTTGAAATGTAGTACCACCTTGTCCAATTATTACTTAGCCTACATTGGCAGTGCGACATGAATACCACCGCCTTTGGAGGTATTTGCAATCTCGAGCTTAGCAACATGAACCCCATGATGAACTTTACAACGTTAGGGTCAGTTGTGTTAGTGCCAACTCGTACTCTGCTAACACATCAAAAATTAGCCTTGGCAGAGGAAACCTTAAACCTGCTTCAAAATGGTCTAAATACATTGGTATCCATTCAATCCTTGACACTGAGCAAGCCCTTTCATTTTTGGTGGTAGCCCAAACCAACATCGTTCTAGGGATTTGGAATTGTTACACTACTGCCTCCAATTTATTCATTCCTTTCACGGTGGCTACACCATCAACTACTTCATGGTGGAGCGTAGCTTTAAACTTAAACCTAGCCAACATATCTTGTTGCGCCTTCCAAATATTGTTTAACTTGCCAGCAAAGGGCATATTTTCCCACACACCCATCATAGGCACACTCTCCTCTGTAGTTGTTATTACTAGGGTGCCACCACCAGTCCTTCCCTCTCCTCTACCACCCAACACCGTCCCTGAAGATGAGGCCCTAGAGGATGAGGAATTGTGGCTATTAGAACCACTAGCAGCACTTGAGTTTGCATTGCTCTCTGGTGTTATAGACTCCAATAAATCTTGCAATGCCGATTGTACTATCCAGGTAATCGGTTCCACAAAAACAACACCTTCTTCCTCCTCCCTTTCTTGGTTACCTCGAAGCTCTCTTAGTTCCCTAAAAAACTCCATCTTTACTTGTATTACATTTTAAGACATTGATTGGTACACACTTTGGTTTAACACGCTACAAACACACTCATTAAAAAATCATTATTCTCTTGTCTAAAATTAAAAAAAAAAAAAAAAGTTAAAGATGCAACCATACATATAGGATGTAGGAATTAACTGAATTAAGCTATACTTATATTATATTTTACTAGTTGAATTGGATGAATGTCAGAAAGTGTGTAGAACTGAGAGTGTATGAATCATTTTTCTATATTTTAATTGTTGAATTGGGATGAGTGTCAGAAAGTGTCTACTATTCATTTTCCTAAGATATAATATTGTAAGAAAAATTAATAAGAGGTGGGAATAATTGTATGGAAGTAAGAAGGTACTAATGAAATAATGTTAAAAAGTTGTGACTTTTAAGTTTTGATTTAGAACATGTGTAATATAGATAAAAGAGGGAGAGGAAGAGAGAGAGAGAATTGGAATAAAAAAAAAAGGTATACAACGATCGATAGAGGTGCAAGAAGTGATTGAAAAAAATAATAAAGTGGGAGGATAAGGGGGAAAAGAATAATAAAAATAAATTATTAATAGCGATAGAAAAAGTGAGGGGAAATATAGATAGATAGATAAATATAATAATAAAATACAGTAGGGTAAAAGCTAAGAGACAACATCATAAGAAAAATTTAATGAAAGATAAAGTATAGGTAAATGAAAATGTAACAAGAGAATAATGTTAGTGAGCTATAACTTTTATGTTTTGATTTAAAATCTTTTAAAATTGGCATTAGAGAGAGACAGAGAGAGGAGACAAAGTAGGGTAAAAGAGAGATTTATAATAGTAATAGTTATAGAAGCAAAAGCAAAAAAACATTAATGAGGATTTGATGATGAACTGATCTCTCATGTTTATCTCAAAAAATTTTAATTGATATCAAAGTTAAATATCTATTTATAATAAATTAATATCTATTTAAAATGATTTTTATATTTATTAATTAAAAATTAATTGCATATGTGAATCAATATTATTATAATTAAGAATTACAAAAAAATGCAGTACAAACCAATTTTGCATAATGCAATTTTAGAGTCTAGTTGTAAGTTTACAATACTATATGATATTGTAATTATATATTTTCACAATGAGAAGCATGAGAATTCAAGTTCAAACTCAGATGATTGCAATTGCCCCCACCTTCCTTGTAAAATTATCCTTAATTCAGGCAAAAAAAAACGTATGTAAGAGAATGTTGTAAAAGGGAAGAAAAACGATTGATATATCCTCCAGTTTGGCATATCTTTTAATACTTATTTGCTTTAATCATTAAAATATAATATAAATATAACTTATTCAATTGGTTCTTGTATACTATATGCATAGTTATATCTTTAAGTTTATTTACTTTTAATTTTAAATTAAAAAATATTAATTTTTTAATGAAAGATATTAAAGTTAAATTTTTTTTTTGGTGAAAAAAAAAGAATTAATTAATATATATATTTTTTTTCTTCATTTGCACTGGGATCTATTGTGAATGGAAAGGTTATAAATATGTTCCTCGTGGTTTTAATAAACAAAATTCCTTTAGGACAAAGGCAAGACCATGCTTTAGCTTTATGCTTAATGATCATGAAGAAGAAGCAGAATAGTGTAAACAAAGTAAAGTAACTAACAACCAAGCAAGAGTAATTGGTAAGCATAGCCCCTAGTCCATTCTGATCTGCTTCTATATGTGCGCGCTCTGCTAAGTTCTCAATAGTGACTGACTCGGACAAGTACGTAGATGATTATTAATTAGATATGCATGCCAACAGTGGCGGACAAGTACGTATTTATTTTTAAATTATTATTTTTTAATCTAAAATTAAATATAAATAAATTTAAAAATAAAGTTGTGTATATATAATACAAGAACTAGTTGAACTAATTATATTTATATTATATTTTAATAATTAAATTGAAATGAATATTAAAATATATATTAAATCAAGTGTATATCAATCATTTTCCAATTAATTAAGTTTTTTGTCCTTGTGCTCTTTTCTTCTTGTTGCCTTTCAATTTTCTTATCTTTCTATGCATCCTTCATTTATCCCTCTACAGGTCAGCCTACCAAATACCTAAAGGTATACTTTATTCTCTTAATAAAATTTGTAGATGTTTTTTATGGGGAGGGGAAGAAGAGTTAAAAAAAAAAATACCAATTGGGTTAAATGGGAGAGGGTTTGTAAACAAAAGAAGTATGGAAAGCTAGGAATGAGGGACTTGAGGAAATTTAATATGGCATTGATGGGAAAATGGTGGGGAAGGCTTGCAAATATAGAAAAGGGATTGTGGAAGAGTGTCATGGAAAGGAAATATGGACAGAATGGGGGGCATTGGTTGGATTGGGTGCGAGATGGCAAAAATGTAGGACCATTATGGTGGAGAGATGTACGAAACCTCAATGTGGGGGAAGGGGCAAATGGGGGGTGGTTGTCGTCGGGTTTTAGGATGAAGATAGAAGAGGGGAAAGGTGTGAGTTTTTGGTGGGATGAATGGTGTGGGGAGGTTTGCGTGGCTAATAAATTTCCTAGATTATATATATCTCTTATTAACAGGGAAGGAAAACCACCAAATGGGTAAAGACTTCAACGGCACATGGAAATGGAACCTTGCATGGAGAAGAACTTTGTTCGAGGGGGAAGATGAGGACGCAAAGGAACTTAAAAGGACGATTGAGAATGTGACGATCACACCAAGTCGACACGACAAATGGGAATGGATTCATAGCAACGATGGTCAATACTCAACAAAAACAGCTTACTCGATGTTAGTAAAACAAAGAAGAGAACCGGAGGAAGCTGTAATATTCAAAAGAATATGGAGCAAGATTCTTCCAAGCAAAGTTGCAGCTTTCAACTAGAAAGTAATGCTTGACAGAATTCCAACCAAGATAAACTTGCTCAAAAGAGGAATTATCAAGGATACAAGAGAAAGGAAGTGTGTTCTGTGTGAGAATGAGGATGAAGACTCTAACCATTTGTTCCTGAATTGCAGTATAGCTAAAAGGTTATTGCAGGCATGTGCAAATTGGTGGGGGATCACTGTCACGTTACACAAAGATTGTTGGAAAACTTTCCAAAATTTTGGAGCATGGACCACAAGCTCACGAATTTCAGAAGGATGGGATTGCATATGGAACTCATTTATTTGGTCAGTGTAGATGGCCCGAAATGGGAAGATTTTCTAGAATTTGAAGGTAAACTGGGCCAAACTGTTTGAACTTATTCAATTGCGCTCTTTTGCATGGATTAAGGCAAGAAAAGCCAAATGTTATTTCAATCTTTCAAATTGGTTAGCCAACCCTGCTTCATGTCTCTATTAACTGTGGGAGGAAAAAATAGATTTAGTAGGAAGGGTCTGAAAGATGAGATTAACATTGAAAGGCTTCTATATTATTTATGTAAACGGGTTTAAATACCCTTTGTACTCAATTATTAATTAGTTTATATTTTGCTGTTAAAAAAAAAAAGGTCTCTCCTTCCTATTGCTTTCTCTTCATTTTCTTTTAATCCTTTCCTCCTTATTATTATTGTTTTAGAAAGGAATGCTATGTATACTCGACAACCTAGTGTACTAGCACTCAGGACTCCACTATTCTCTCTCTCTTTTGAGTTTTTTTAAGGATAAATGCAGTTGCAAATCATTTCCCTTTCGTAAACAACCTATCTCACTCTCAGCTTTCGTTCGCCTTTCTTTATCCTTCCTTTTCATTTTAAGATCTATTAGTTTGGGAAGATGTAGAGGAAGAAGAAAAAGGTTTTTTCTTATTTGTCTGTAGATGTTTGCATGTTGGAGCTTTCAGCCAGGGCTCCGCCGCGGAGATGTGCTAATCTTTATCTTTTTTGCTCAAGATGAGAATTTGCCTTGCGAAGCTGGAGTCACCTGCCAGAAAAGTTGAGAAAAATGGATTTACGCATAATGTACACATGCATGGCTCAAATGGTCAAAAATCAAATTCCTTCCTGCTTCAGTATCCAGCCCACAAGTTCAGAGCCTCATAGCCCCGCGGTACTGGGCAACAAATGGGACTGGGTAGACTACAGAGACGGGGGATTGGAGAAAATATTGATTCACGTGAGAAGGGAATTATGCCTCTTTTTATATATATATAAATATAGAAAAGAGATCAAAGGTTATTAATTTAATGAAAATGATGATATGCTTATGGAAAAGTATTTTGTAGGTCCTTCTCCCAAAATTTGTTTAGAGGACATATTTAAAAACTCATTTTCTTATTTATATTTTCACAAACGAATTATTGAATTAAATATTTTATTCATAAAGATCATACACGTCAATTGTTATGTTGATCTAGTAAGTTTAATCACTTTACTAATTATAAGAAATTTAATATCGTTAAATATATATTAATAAATATAATTACTTTAATTAAAGGGTTATAAATGTTAGATCAATATAAAAATTGATATGCATAATTTATATAAATAAAACTTTTAATTCAACATTTAATTTTCTAAAATATTAATTAGAAGGTGAATTTTTAGATAAATATGCTTATGAAAAAGTATAAAATATTAATAACCTTAGTGGGATACACTTTTTCTACTATACTTGTTTTGTATATTATGTCATGAGTTTTTTAATTGGAGTATTTAATTAGTTTGATTTCTTTAATTGTTAGTTAATTTACATATACAACTAATGTGAGCTCTAATAGACTGAAAAATATGATAGCAAATTAAACTTAAGAGATTAAATGAGATAAAATAAGATTAAAGAGAAAGTATTTGTCCATCTTAAAATTAACAAAAGAAAAATCAATTTGAGACAAAATTTTAGTATTATTTTTCCTATAATTTATAATGTATTCGTTTGTGATAATAAAACAAAAGATTTTTGTCGGTCCCTCCTAAAATTTTAGTCAAGCTTCTTCCTTATTTATAATACCGCATAAAAATCCTGGGGAATATGCAGCGTGTTAATTGAGTAACATGTTTAATTCGAGAAAATAAAAAGAGGGGACGAGGGAATTGCAAGTTGCAGCCTCCTAATTTAATTGAACGAAAATGTTTTCCTTTCCCTTTCCTTAACCAAACATACTGAATGTCTTCAACCTACCGTCGCCCTGAACATCTTTTTCTTGTTTACTTCTTTGCTTTAGTAGTTGTTATCTCCTTCTCCCTCAATGGTTAGATTCAATGGCTAAAAGTATGAGTCCTTTTCTTTCTAGTATGGGTTTCTCCCTCTCCTGATGTTTTCATTGAGATTTGTCCTTGTTGAATGAATTATGCTAGATAGTGGCTTATTTACTAACCATATATTTAGGTCGAAGGGAATGAAAAAGAGTAAAAGGGAGCCAAGGAGATGGAAAAATGTTATATTTTTTCATTTTGCTTCTCTTATTTAGATAAATAAATAAATTTTAAAAAAAAATAAAAATAAATGACTTCATTGTCTTCTCTGCTTTTCTAATTCTTTTGATAACCAATTAGAGGAATTTTTCCCCTTTACTCCCCTTCATTCCTTAAACCCAAACATATTATAAATCTCAACCTCAAGTCTTGCTGTAATGTTCATGTATTAGATTATTTGATTTTTTATTTTATATATTTTATTAACGTAATACCTTTGGTTTAATATCTCATTCGAGTTAATTTTGTAACTTCTATGAATTTTTTATAAAAATCTTAAAAGATTTGATAGTTGAATATCTCATCTCTGTTTCATTTCGTAAATAAAAATCATATATTAAATTTGTGCTTTCGATTGGATAATTAGATTTTAATTCAAATGATGATATATAGACTTTATTTTTGAAAAAGGTCATAACTAAATTAGAAAAAATATATTTATAATACTACCTATAATTGTAAGTTTATAATAATAATAAAACATTTTTTTTATGAGAAAGCTCGAAAATTCATTAACCAAGAAAGTAGAGATTACACAATAAACTATAATCACTAAATAGACCCATAAAAATATAGAAACTATACCCAAAACATATAATAGTGGTAAATAAATAAAAACAATTAGGGACAAGAAGCAACCTAAAACTATAAGATTATCAAGGAAATTGCTTTAAGAGCAATAACAGAACTATAAAGTAGATAGACTACCATTGTGAGCATCCTGAGCTACATGGAAGTTACACCTTTTATGCATGTTTCAGTGGAAGCTAAATTTGCTAGGCAAATAGCAGCTTCCTTTTGCTAGAAGCTACTAGTAGGGTTGGGCATTCATTCACATTGTTTAAACTGAATCAAATTATAGGTTGTTTCAAAAAATTTTAGAAACGACTTTCATTCCAAATCCAAATTGAATATTTAATTTAGTTATAATTTTAGATAACCAAAATTATTTGGATAATTTGATTAATTAACCAAAATAATTAAAATTTTTATCTACCAATATTAGTGTATCATTATTCTTCACTATTGGTTATTAAAAGCCTTTTCTTTGTAATTTTGATTATTTTTAATTTTTTTAATATTCTTGTCTATAAATTTAACCAAGAAAGAATTATATCCAAATATATATATTAAAAAAGATAATTTAATGTTTCATATTAGTAATTTTGAATATGAATTAATAACCATATTCAAATCAAAAGTAATTTCAATTATTTCAATTTATCTGAATTTCTTCAAATATTTGAATTTATCTAAATATCTGAATTGTTCCAAACCAAAATTTAAAAATTCAAATAAAAAATTTGAATATTTTGATAGGATAATGATACATACACCCTGCACAGTTACACATTCCCTTGCACAGTTACAGAACCGTTAGTGTGTAATGGAAATTGTTAGTTTTAATGACACAACTAACAAAAACCGTCAATCTTAATTGCACAAATAACAGAGTCCGTTAACTCTAATGGCACAAATAACAGAAACTATTAGTGTGTAATGGAGTATGTAACTTTGTAAGGTGCACCAATCATTTTCTATTTTGATAATATCTGGAATCTTCCCAAAACAAACTACCTCATCTTGCATTGTCCCCTAAATTCCTATATTCCTTTTTTTTTTTACTCCTTTTGTTTGTCCTAATTTTATCCTTAGTAGAAGCACACTTCACTGGAGTATTTGGAAAAAAATTATGGATGAAAACCATCAAAAACAAACAAACACACGATCACCTCCAATGTAGATGCTTCTTATCTAACAGCCTCCACTCGTGCTAGGGAAATCTCCTCCTTCGTCCTCTGCTAAGGAGTTTGTAAAACTATCATCCCACCACGTCCCACCACGTCCCACCATTTCCCACGTACCATCAACTATTTCTTAGCGCATCCCAACACCATCCCCCACGAAGTCCGCTACCTCCACTGATAGAAATAAAAAAGGAGAAGAAATATTGAAGAAAAGTTTATTGTTTTCTTGAATAATACTGTATATACAATGACTTATATATAGGTGTTTACAAAAAGAATATTCTAAGATATAAAGTATACAAAAAGAATATTCTAAAATATAAAATATTTACAATAATTATGAATATAATCTAAATAATTGTGTTCACATCTTAACATCCCCCCTCAAACTCAAGGTAGTTGTGATGAAACTAACTTGAGTTTGGAAAGAAGAGTATGAAAGTGACTAGGAAAATGCACCTCAGTAAAAAGGTCTGTTGGTTGATCAGTGAGGCCAATGAAAACCAAATGAACAATTCCTTGTGCAACATGATGGCGAACAAAGTGACAATCAACCTCAATATGTTTAGTACATTCATGGAAGACATCATTATGAGCAATTTGCGTATCTTCAAGAAGCCATCATAATGAAAGAAGTTCTGATGTGGTATCACCGAGAGCTTTATACTCAATTTCAATACTAGAGCGAGATGGAATAGTTTGTTTCTTACTCCGCCAAGAAATAAGAGAATTACCAAGGAAAAGACAGTTACTAGTGGTAGATCTATGATAAAAAAGATCACCGACCCAATTAGCATCAGAGTAGGCACAAAGCACAAGGACGGAGTTGGTAGAAAAATTAATCCATGAAACAATGTTCCTTGAACATAGCGAATAATGCAAAGTACTGTTGCATAATGAGTGGAGCAAGGAGCAACCATAAATTGACTAACAATGTGAACTGCATATGCTATGTCAGAGCGTGTCATGGTAAGATAAACCATACTACTAAGCAATTGCCGATAGCAAGTAAGATCCGAAACTAGAGAGCCATCCATAGGTGTAAGCTTGACATTGGGTTCAAGAGGTGTGAATCACTCTTACCATCATTGAATTCAGCTTTAGAAACAAGATCGGAGGCATACTTTACTTAAGAAAGCAAGTAGCAATCCTTTGAAAATGTGACTTCAAACCCTAGAAAATAGCTCAGAACACCAAGATCTTTCATCTCAAAATTTTGACTGAGAGATTGTCTTAGCTCCTCAACACCAGCGACATCATCTCTAATAATAATCATGTCGTCAACATAAAGTAAAAGCACCATACCCCAAGCAATCTTATGAATGAACAGAGTTGTATCATGTGGATTGGAAATAAAACCAAACTCACTCACAATAGCACTAAATTTTGCATACCAAGCTCAAGGGGATTACTTCAACCCATATAATGCACGTCATAATCGGCATACCTAGTTGGGAGGATGGTTGAGCCCAAGAAGTGGTTTCATATAAACTTCTTCTAGGTCACCATTAAGAAAAGCATTTTTCACATCCATCTAAAACAATTTTCATCTTTGTATAGCAACAATAGCAAGCAAACTACACACAGATGTGAGACAAGCAGTTGGAGCAAATGTTTCCTCATAGGCTATTCCATACTCTTGTGTAAACCCTTGGCAACCAAACATGCCTTATAACCCTCCATAGAACCATTAGATCATGTTTTGATCTTGTACACCAATTTACAACCTATTAGAGACTTTTTAGCAAGGAGATCAACTAAATCCCATATACGAGTATTCCTAAGAGCCTATAATTCATCTTACATAGATTATTGCCAAAGACGATTATAAAAGGCCTCTTGATAGGATTGAGGCTCATGTAAAGCAATAATAGCAGAAAAACAATGATAATCACGAAGGTAGCTGGAAGGGTTTCTTACCCAAGTAGGATGACTCGAGGATGGGACAACAAGCTCATTTGTAGACTCAACAATATCAGATGCAACATCAACAGGTGATACAGAGGAAGAAGTAAAAAAAAAGCTCAAAATTATCTAATACATTGCCAGTAGATAGATCATCTTCTACAAAACTATTCGAAGCATATGGTGAGGCATTATAGAGCTCATCAAATGTACCTACATCAAAATCACTAAGAGATAGCTCAATAGAAAGATTAGCAAAAAAGGATGTTGATGAGAGGATGACTCTTCGAAGTTTGACAATGATGAGAACATAATGTGTTCCCAAAAAACAACATGATTTGAAACTCGGAGTTTTTGTTACACAGGATCCTAATAATGATATCCTTTTTGTGTAGTCCCATAACCCAAAAAATAGCATGATCGAGCTCTAGGCTCTAACTTGTTATGTTCATGAGGTGGAAGAAGAACAAAACATGCACAACCAAAAATCTTAAGAAGATTATAGGCACGAAGAATACCATTTAAACGCTTGTATTAAGACTGATTATTAAGGGCTAATGATGGAATGCGATTAATAAGATAAACAACTGTAAGAGTAACTTTACCCCAAAATCGCTCTAGACAAGAAGATGAAATGAGCAAAGCATGAACAAAATTAAGGATGTGTTTGTGTTTGTGTTCGGCTCGCCCATTTTGTTCAGAAGTGTAAAGACAAGATTATTGTGTCAATGTACCCTGTTTTTTCAAAAAGGATTGAAGTTTAGGACAAGATATTCAATAACATTGTTAATTCTCAAAACTTTTATAATTTTAGAGAATTGAGTTTTGACCATGGTAGCAAAATCAATATAAATTTGTGATAATTCAAAGTAATTTTTCATAAGGTATATCCAGGTAAAATGAGTATGATCATCAATAAATAACACGAAATACCTGGAACTCCTTATAGTGGGTGTAGAAGATAAAGCCCAAACATTAGAATGCACGAGATCAAAAGGAGCAACAGAATGAGAATGACTAATCAAAAAAGATAAAGCTAGTTGCTTTGCAGAGTGACTTGACACACAATGCAAGGATTCATATCTAACTTATCCTAATAAACCATGAGAGATAAGTGGATGAAGTTTACCGATTGAGATATGTCTGAGCTGTGAGTGCCACAAGTGGAGAGGCGAAACATTAGTAGTAGCACAAACTTGCAAAATTTGTTGGAATGGAATTTGTGAAGACTTTAATTCAACAGAAAAGTGTAAGGTTTGGATGAAGTGATCATTTGGAAATGATGGTGTGTCTATTTTATGATGTGGAATATGCAAATAAATGAGCTTAAACATACGCCCCACCTTACGACCAGTTCTAAGAAGTTGTCTTGTTTGTGGGTCATGCACACGACAACCATAAGGAGAAAATATTACTTCAAGGCTAAGATCGCATAATTGACTGTCACGCCCCAAAACCCAAATTCAAGGCGCGACAGACGCCGTACACTCGTGAGACGGGTCCCACAAGTGCACAAGGCTCGGAACTGATCATATCACACTCTGATACCACCAAAATCTGAAGATCAAATTATAAAATTTCTCCGATCATAAATCTCCAAATACACTCTAGCTTACAAGATCATGATTTCTAGAATCTATATCAATCTCGAAATGGCTAGCTTTCTAACTCGTCACTTCCCGTGGTTTCCCCGTCCTCGGTTTCACTTCCTGAAATGGTGGACAAGGAAAAACTATGAGATAAACTCAGTAAGTAAAATATGGAGTGCCCATTATTAAACTTATAGCATGCCAACATGTGCAATCACGAAAAACGGATACAATACGGGAACGAAATAGACATCTCCTCTATAGGTCATGGCCAGTGTTATAAACCTCCCACTGGCGGGAAACAGAAATTGCTAGTGTTTAATCCCACTAGCAGGATAACAGAAACGAACCGGTTCTATCAGTAACATGTCGACATGTGCTAGCGTTTATAACTCCCACTAGCAGGCAACAGAATAACATGACCATATCGGAGACAAAACAGGCTGAATTTAACAAGAAAATCACAATTCACAATCACTTTCAGATCATCAGGACGGTCACTTAAATTTCAAGTAGGCATGCTCAATTTAATGAAAAGCATAAAACATTTCACTTCAAATCAGTCATGCTCGTGTAAAACGGGTTTAGTTCCGCCACCACTTCAAAAACAAATCAAAACATGCTTTTAAAACTGTATGGGCATTACCATAAATTTACTTACCTCACTCGCATAAAACCGAGCACTCAATTCATGTACTAAACTGACAGGACGATCGGGAACATAATCAAAACACCTCAGAATTAATATCGGACTATCACAAATTCAAGTTGAAATCATCATTAGGATCATTCCTAATCACAATGCTATTTCTATCACTTTCCACATGATCGGACATCTCCAAATTCGTTCTCATATCACAAACTAATCATTTAAATTCCCGTTAAATGTTGGCCCTCAGGGTGTGAACAGTGTCGGTGAACAGTACCCGTGAACAGTACCCTGACGTGAATCGTAACTGCACTTTCCAAAAATTGGCCAAACACTAGCTAATTCACGGGATTTCCTCCAAAAATCACACAACAGACAATTAATACTCAATCACATAAATCCCACTTGAATTAACACTTAAACTTGTCCTAAAACTACCGGAATTCCTCCCCAAATTTTCTGTCAAATTCGGACACACAAGGCAGCAAACAAAATGGACAATTTAAGCCTTAAAAGGCTGTCACATACCATAATTCTCCAGCTGTAGAAACCGGAGCTACAGGGGGGAAAAAGGCCGGCAGCAAGCTGCAGGGAAGCTCACGGGTCTACCCAAAATTGAAGGAAATAAGAGCAATCAAAGTTAACCCAAGCCAATTCAAGCAAGAACAAAGGAAATTAGGGGTTGTTTCTTACCCAAAACCGAGCAATTCACCCCCACAAAGCAGGAGCAACCGGCGGACAGGGGAGGAAGGACAGAGCAGATCCGGATTTCCAGCAAGGGGAAAGAATTTCTGGGTTCTACGTGTGTTCTAGAGCAAGAAAGGAAGGAGAAAACCAAGCTTATCTCACCGATTTCTCAAAGGCATGGCTGGGTTCCCTTTTTTTTTTCCTCTCGGGCTGCAGCGGGAAGAAAAGAAAGAAAGAAAAAGAAAAAGGAAAGAAGTTGATCCTTATCCAAAACTCTTTCACTTTTAAGTCCCTCAAGTTTCAAAATATTCACATTATGCCCCAAAACAATCTTTTCTCACAATCAAGTCCCTAACTTACACTTAAATATTCCCAAAAATTTGGGATATTACATTGACCAACAGATAAAAGATTATAACTAAGTTTTGGAACTAAGAGAGCATTTGTTAAAGTCAATGACTTTATAGAAATATTACCAATGTGACTAACATTCATAAAGGAACCATTATCAGAATAAATATTAGGAAAAGAATTATTTGGTGACATTGAAAAGAAATAAGTAGTAGTTGAAGACAAATGGTTACAACAACCAGAATCAAAATACCAAGGTTTGGTACCTAGAGCAGTATATAAGGCAGTAGGAGCATTAAAAAGGTTTAATATCACCTACTTTAGGGATTCAAGGTTGACATTAGGTTGGTCTATCACTTCTTTGGCAACCATAACAGTAGTAGGATAAGTTACAGTCTTTTCAAAACGCGCCATAGAATCAGTAAAACTCACAATATTGAAAAAAAATCTCTAAAAATATTAAGAAATAGATGCCAAGATTGAAATAACAACTCAACAAAATACATCAAGAAAGGCCTAAGAATAAACAATCCAATCTGTAGAAGAAGAGATCTCGATGACAAAGTTTCAGATCTGGAATGGATTTAAAAATCCAACGCAAAAATCTAAACAGTAATGATAAAAGAGAAGAACCAAGAACTTATAGCTTTGATATCATGATAGAAATAGAAAAGGAGAAGAAATATTGAAGAAAGGTTGATTGCTTTCTTGAATAATACTATATGTACAATGACCTATATATAGTGTTTACAAAGAGAATATTCTAAAGTATAAAATATTTACAATAATTATGAATATAATCTAAATAATTGTGTTCACATCTTAACATCCATAAAACCCAAATGAAACCTAGCCAAGGCGGAAACTCGTGCGCAAGTCCTAAGCCTTAACTGATCATTGTTGTGCCTCCCTTGAACTTAATCACTGCCAGAAAAGGCAAGGAAACCTTAAGTAACTTCAACATATAGACCTTAAATTGAAGGGGAAAGCAATGACGCCAGGATAATCTATATAAAGTGTAATTTTATGCTAATTTGATGTTAGCAAATGAATGAATATATACAATATCATGAATAATTATTTAAAAAAAATGTCAATCATAATAATATGTCATAATTATAAACTCACAATATCATGTGATATGGTATGCATAGCATTATCTTAATCATATAGAGAAACTTAACCTTCTTTTTTTCTTTTAACTTAACTTACAACATCTACACTATCATGGCTTGTACAATTTACCCATGACACACACTTTAACAATAGCTCACTAAAGAACACCTATTTCAATAATCCCCCACAAATAGGCGCCGTTCAACATATGACAAGATTGAGATATTAACTAGATAACACTTACCACACTTCTAACATTTTATTATTATGATGACTTATCACGCCTTTAACACATTACTGGTAAGATGAAAATAACCACGCTTTTGACACTTTATTGGGGAGAAGGAATAGACCATGTCCCTTGCAAAGTCAATTTCTTCTTCAACACTAATGTGCTCATGGTTGACAAAGTCACCTAATGATAGGCACGTGAATTTATCAAAGGAAAAGAAGGCAATACACGTCAAGCATTTAATGAAAGTCACTTGAAAAACATATTTTGTCAACATAGGCAATAGTGTCAAGATTCAACCAAAGTTGACAAAACAAGGAAGATTCTTTTCAATACTCAATAGTCTCTTGATATTTATATGTTACCTATCTTGTCACTCATATTTGATGAATAGTGGAAGTGAATACTAATCAATATATGAAAAATATAACTACGGGATTTGGATGAAGCAATTGTGTGCAAGTAAATTGACAAATGAAAAGCATTGTTAGAAGTGCTAAATTGTTAAAGGAGAAATGTTTATCGTTTTTGTGTGATCCAAACTTGGAGAAAAATAAGGAGATTTCCATTGTCTTATGAGGGCCATCAACAGCAAGAAAACTAGGTGAAAAGCCATGGTCGCATACTCTCCAATTGTTTCCTCTAAAATTGTTTCCTCTAAAATCCTTTCCTCTTCTCATTTGGTTATATGTCTTGTGGAACCAAGCCCATGAAATTGATCAGAAAGATTAAAGGAGTAATGGCTTGGAAGGCATGAAGAAATAGATCTCACCTTGTCCTTAGATGAAGTGGTGATTATGGTCAACTTTGGGGACGTTATCTTGTCACTCATGTTTGATGAATAGTGGAAGTGAATACTAATCAATATATGAAAAATATAACTATGGGATTTGGATGAAGCAATTGTATGCAAGTAAATTGACAAAAGAAAAGCACTGTTAGAAGTGCTAAATTGTTAAAGGAGAAATCTTTATCATTTTTATGTGATCCAAACTTGGAGAAAAACAAGGAGATTTCCATTGTCTTATGAGGGTTATCAACAACAAGAAAACTAGGTGAAAAGCCATGGTCTCATACTCTCCAATTATTTCCTCTAAAATCCTCTCCTCTTGGCCATTTGTAGCAAAAGTTGCTCAGGCTTGCCACTTGCTTTGCTCAAACCAACAAAGCAGGATTTCTGGCAACCCTCACCTCTTCCAAGCATAAGAACTTGTTTAAAAGTCAATGGAAGAATGCCATTTGATTGACTAATTATGCTAATAATACCTTGACTAGAAAATTGTAGTAGAAACAAGTGTGGATTCTTGTATAAAGGTTCGTAAATAATTGCCTTAGAACAACATTAATGACTTCCCACATCTAGGGCCACAATGAAGTAAGTTTGTTAACAAAATAGGCAAAAATAAGAAAAAAGGATGCATGGCAAAAATAAGGATGATCTAAAACTAAAATAATGAAAGGGAATTAAACTAAAGAGTGTTGTAGAAATCTTAAAACTTAGCTAAAATTGAAAATTAAGAGTATTGGCAGAAATGTAAAATGAGAATGGCTGAAATGTAAAGAACTAACTATTGACAAAAATGAAATGAAACTAAGATCTTTACTTGAAATCTTAAGAAGAATTACAAATGAAGGTTGAAACATAAACTTGCTAACAAGTTAGAAATTGAATCTAGGCAATAAACAGAAATGTGAAATGTGCTGGCAGAGGAAGAATAACTATATTAAATTTAAATGTTGGAGTTAACTTAACTAAAAACAATAAAAACAAAAAACCTATTGAGGGAGTTGAAACTTTTCTACACTAACAAGAAACCTATAGAGTCATTATAAAAGCTATATTTGAACTAAACTAGTGCTGAGCTAAGATATGTTGAAATGTAGATGTTGTTGAGAGGGGTAAGCTTATTGAACTTTTCTTGAAATCTTGTATTTATGGGCCTCCATAACTGAAGCTATTTCCAGATTTCTGATTTAATCATCATTTTCTTCAACTACCCTATTGTCATGCTTGACTAAATTAAAGGAATCTCAATAGCTTTGAATCCTTCATTACAAAAGAGATTTCTACCACGTGTGACTTAGTTGCTACCCTATTATCATGCTTGACTAAATTAAAGGAATCTCAATAGCTTTGAATCCTTCGTTACAAAATAGATTTGTACCACGTGTGACTTAGTTGCTAAATCAAAATTCTAGTTGCTAGAAATCTTTAAAATTGGGCTTGTTGGAACCGTTTCTGATTTTTCTCAACTAAACTAACTTATTCAACACCACATCAGCAGCTTCCCTGATTTTGTGGAATAGTTAAATTTTTTCCTTTCATTTCTACCATGTGTTAGACATTCATTGCACTAGAATTTCCTTTTACTGTGGGCTACATTGCACCAAATCATGGCCATTGATCATTTGTGAATTTCCAATTGTATGGAAAAATTTGTGGCCATTAGATCTCCATTAGGGACTTGTGGTATTATTAAAAAAATTGTCAAATGTGGTGTAAACACCAACATAGTATTTGCTAAAAATGAATTATGTCCTATAACTCATTTTGGCAATTCTTCATCTCTTTCTCATCTATCATAAATTTTGTTTAATAATATCCCTTTACCAGTTAGGTAAAAAAAGAATCAAATCACCCTTAGATGAGGGCAAGTGGCCTTATATTGAGGAAAGACTTCATTCAGGAGTCATGATTGTTTTAGATGTGCCAAAATTATCATTTATCCGTGGGCATTTTAAAGACCACCTTTTTTTCCTTGAAGATCCTTTTGGCCATTTACACACAAGTTTTACATATTACACTTATTGTTACCCCTAAAATCCTATTAGCCACACCTCATGGTAGAAATTGGAATAAAAGGCATGCCATCTACTTTTGCAAGAAAAGCAGAGAAAGAATTCACTGATGACCATCTTCTTCTACACGATTTTCCTTGTGAAAAAGGCCGATGGAAGAACGTTGTTTAGAATCAAATGCACCCGAATTAGATGATTAGTAGAAATGAGGGATTAGTTCTTTTACAATGAGCTCAAACTTGCGTTGAAAGCACGTCAATGACTTTGGTTATGGTAAACATATTTTAAGAAAAATTAAACTAAAGTGCCTGAGAGTTACTAAGATAAAACATGTGTTGGAAATTAATAAATGAAAGTGCAGTAAATTAAACTAAGCAGAAACATAACTATAAGTAGAAATCAAAAACTAGTAGAAATATATAAAGTGCAATAAACTAAAGATCAATCAAATTGTAAATTGCAATGAAAATATAAAATGATTCAAGTTTAATAGAAACTATAGCCATGCTTGAATTTAAATAAAATACTAAATATTTGAGAATTTGAGTAGAAGGAAACAACAAAACAAGATGAATGTCACTAACATTAATCTTGCCAAAATTAAAATAATAATGAACGAATCCTCTAGCGATTGTTGTTCTACTCCTATTGAACTACAAATTCAAAGATAACGTACTGCAAATAACCTTGAACTAAAGAATTGCTAGGGAAACTAAGCTAAAAATATGACAGGCTTGTGAGAATATTGAGCTTTGAAAAGTAAATTGACTTGTGCATGAAAGGCAGGCCCGTTTAAACTAAAAAATGTGTTGAAAACTTGTCTTTAAAGGCTTTCATGGCTGAACTTATTCAACAAATCTAACCTTGATTCTCCCCATCTTCTATGGTGAAACTAGATCTCAACAGCTCCAAAATCTCCTCCATTGTGTGAACTTCTAGGAGCTAGAAATGAAAATTTAGCAGCTAAAAATCATTAGAATATTATTCATTGGAACCAACTAGAAGTTGCCCTTGTTTTTCTCAATTGATCTAGTCAAGTCCCATGTTGATTTAATCCCCAAGTTTGCATCTCCTTCGTACCAAAGAAAGAAGATGAAAATTGAACTTAAATAAAATATTACCTCTTGTCTGTGAGCCTATAATTTTTTTGCAAAAGTCCAAAAGAACACTTGGGCTACACTTTTTCTTGGGTTAGGTTTCTATCTTGCCCTAGCTCAATAAATGCTCCAATATCAAATCAATGAAGTTGGACTATTTGTGCGTAATTAACAAAAGTGCAAAAGGCTTGAGCTCAGTAAAAATGTTTTGGATCAATCCATGGCAACATCAAAAATAAACTCTAACGTTTAATTAACAAATCATTTATTAGCTTTCATATTCTTTTCAATTTCATCCATTATCTTTGAATTCTTCCAATCCTCTCTATTATCTTTCACATTTATTTCAATTTCATTTAGTCCGTTATCTTTAACAAAAATCTTCTTATTCTATTAGAAATATTTAGTCCTTTAACTATGTTTCTTTTGATCTTTTAGTCCTTAAATTTATATTCATTGTAAAAATAGTTTTTATTCTTATCTTGCTAAATGTGTTCTTCAGAAAATTGTTTTATAGGGTGGATTGTATGTAATTTGTCCTATAAAATTATTTAAAAGCTCTTAATTTTATTTTTATATTATTTTTCAGGGACATTTAAATAATTTTACAAGACAAATTACATATAATTTGTCTTGTAAAACAAACTTACTCTTGAAACTTCTCTTTCTAAACTTACTAAGTTTCTCTACTTGAATTGAGTTAACCGTTCAAGTTTATTACAAATTCTAACTAATCTATTTCTATAAAGTATTTATTGAGTCATCATATTTTATTAAGATTATAGTGTCACTTTTTCAAAACTTAAAGAACTAATCTTTTCTGTTAAATTTAACAAAAATTTTGTACAATATAATATTTTGAAATATTCTCCAAAGTTTATAGACCATTTAGAAAAAAAAAAAAAAGAACTTTCTAAACTAAAATAAAATTAAGCTGATAGTTAATAGAATAAAAATTGAATTAAGCCTAAACTTTAATGCATAGGATCACAACCAATTATTTTCAATTAATCATGAAAAAATTATGCCCACTCGATCTCCCATATGGCATTAACTCAAAATTGCTAATTATGGTATAAACACTTACATAGAATTTTAAGCATTCTTTTTTCCACTTTCAATAGTCAAGATTTATTCACTTTTTATTATATTTATTAAAGATAATTATCTTTTTCATCTAAAAATTTGATAAATCTCAACTATTGAAAGTAGAGAGATAAATGCTTAAGATTTTGTATAAGATTTGTGTGCAAATAGATCTCTACTATATATATGTATAATGAGATTACATTGATAAAAAGTCTACTGGGAAGAAGTCAATTTCATACTAGTTGGTACTGTCGGTACATATTGATTTTTCAACTAATCTAAAACAATATAAGTTTAAAATCCATTTCAATCAAATTTGAGTGTACCAGTCGATATTTTGCATATTGGCTAGTACACTAAAATTAAACCGATATAATTCAAATCTTAAAAAAAAAAAAAAAAAAAAAGGGAAAAAGGCAAATCAACCTGTATACTTAGTGAGTAATGGCAAATCAGCCCCTCCACTCATTATATGGTTGGAAATCAACCCTTTTTGCATGGCTTATATTAGACACTTGTCAATTTGTAACATAAATGTGCTTTTGGTGGGGTCCATTGCTTATATGACAATAAGGTGGCATTTTTGTCCTACATCAGTGCTGAGTTGGTACTAAATTAGTAATTTATATTAAGATTTTCTTTCTTTAAAGTGCATTTATTAAATATTCTTATTATTAATTTATATAAAAGAATACAAAAATAAATTTTATTTTTAATATCAATATTACGTAAAGTACTTTAATTAGATAGTTAATAGAATTAAAATAATTTTTTTATATAATAATTACAATATATGTCTTAAACAGCATTACTTAAATTTATAAATTTATAAAAATTACTTTAAAAGAAATAAAACTTATCACTGCCTAAAATGACCAAAATAATAATTACTAGAACATACACTACTGGAAAACAAGGTATATTTGACAGAAAAATCTATCGAATATAGAGGGATATCTGTCGATTATGTCTTAATCGACAGACATAATCGACAGTCAAATATGTTGTGTAAAATGGAATCAATAATGAGTATATTTGACAACCAATTTTTCTGTCGAATATAATAATTTAATCGACAAATATTGGATGTCGAATATAACACAATCGACAGAACTTCGCTGACGATAAAGATTTTTTAATTTTGGAAACTTTTATTCGACAGCCTTTAGCTGTCGATTAAAATTCTATAATCGACAGCTACTAGTTGTCAAATATATATATATTTTGGAAAGTATATTTGACAGCGTAAGTTGTCAAATATATTTTTTGTGAATATTTGGCAGAAAAATAAAAAAAATTGAAAAAACAACAAAATTTAGAATTAATCTTATACTATTTTTTGTTAATTGTATATAAAAAAATCAGTAAAACGAATGTAATTATCAAGTTCCCCCACAATATATTTATGAAAAAATTTTAACAATAATATAAAAAGTAATAGATAAACGTAAATAAAATTAAAATGAGCATTAACCTTAATTATTTTGAAATATGTTCCTATTCCTGCCAAAAATAATAGAATATATATATATATCAAGTAATAATAATTCAAAAAGAAAAGAAGATAAAAAGTATAAATCACAAAATTTACCTCACATTACTTCATAATCAATGTATTAAAATCTAAAAAAAAAAAAGAATAATAAGAATTCAACAAAAAAGAGAGAACAATGAAAAGAAAGAAGATGATGGATTGTCAAAACTAAAGATAATTTATGAAAATATAAAGAGGAAAATGTAAAAAGAGAAAGAAAAAGGAAAATAAAAGGAGATGAAGCTCAAAGAGAAAACAAGATGTTACTTGCGGAAAGAAAGAGATGAGAAGGAGAAAGGAAGAGGCAAGAAGATGAAAATTAGAAGACAATGAGATGTTCTGATGTCAAAGTGGTTTTATATGTCAAACATATTCGACAAAATTTCTGTCGATTATGTTTGAAATTTAAGTAGCTGGGAAATTCAATTTTTTTGGCCAAGAAGTTCAATTTTTTTTTGGCCGAGGAGGTAGGCACAGTGTTATATTCAACAGCCAAATCAGGTTTTTTTTTATTATTATTATTTTTTAATCCTTATATTTAAACAAATATATTATCTCTTTAAACTGATAAACAGTTTGATTTATCTAATTATTTCTTTTTTGTTGAATTATTTTTTGGCTTTTCTTTTGAGTTTTTTTTATTTAATTATCTTGTAAAATTTTTGGTTTTAAAAGTAATAAGAACAATTTTTTGAGCTAATAATTAATTATAAAAATATATATGCTATTTCTTTGCGAAACATTATATTTTAATTTTTTTCTTTTAACTATAAGATTGTTAGATTTTATTAATATTATATATTTTGCCTATTTAAACCCAAATACTACATAACTAAAACTACTTTAAGTTAATAAATATATACTAACTTCTCATCATACACATCATATATATACATATGTAGTACATATATATAAACCTATATAATATAAGTTTAAAATAGCAATGTCTCTAAGTAGGAGGTGGTAAGTGATCAGGTCTAAACCCTCTAAAAGAAGGACCAGCAGTTTGGGGTGGTGTAAAAGAAGGATAACTAATCTGGGGTTGTGTAGCATTCATAGAATATTGTTGGCTAAGTAAGCGCATGTGCTCTTGGAATCTCCTCTCAAAGCTGGCCTCCATGTCTGATACTCTCTGTGATACCTCTGTATGAATACATGTTGCCACCTTTGTCTGAACTCGCTCAACCATTTCTTCGCGAACTTGAGTAAGCTTAGACTGCAACTGCTGGACTTGTATCGTAAGAATCCTAGTGGTAGAAGAGGAGGCCTCACTCATGTCATACCATCGCCAAGGGATGCCATGCTCTACTGGATCCTGTAATGTAGACATCCCTCTCATCTGACCCTTTTTAGGGGGTCCAACCACTTCCTTCCAAACAAGTGGATCCCATTGTGGCCACAAATCCTTATTTGGCCCATGCTTCTCCACATATTTTTTGTGAGCGTCATTCTATTTCAAAAATAAAATTTTCATTAGATAGGAATTTCAAATGATAATGGGAAATCAAATGAAAAATAATCATTTCCTGAGTATAAGGGATAAAAAATTGTATCACTTTTCTTCTTTTGATCAAAATTGGCATTAAAAATAAACATAATTAATATCATAAAAGAATCAGATACTTACATATGTTTGCTCAACTTGTGGACATATCCAAGTGGGTGGGGCATCTTTTGGAGCATCAGATCGACGAGTCATGTGAGTCAACAAGTACGACTCTAAAGGTGTCAGCCTTACTCCTCTTTTAGCTGCCTATTAAAACATTAATAAAATCAATAACATTTCCATTTTTATGGTAAACAAAAATAATATATATATATATATAAAAGTATATCCTACTAACCAGTCGATCCTCATGGATCCCAATAGAAATGCATCCAGTTGTGTGGGTCACATGGTCACCCTTTGCTCGTTTTTTCTGACCTCTTTCTTGGAGTGCAATATATTTTGGACTCCCCCATTTTGCCAACAAAATTTTAAAGGCATCCTTATGCATGAACTCAGGCAATTTCTTGTACCTAACCCATGCCTTTTGAGCTCGATGATGCTCGTCCTGGAAATTGTTCCGACAATGTAATCTCCAAATTTTATAAACACGAGCATCATCTTCTTCCCTATAATATGTCCTTTGCAATGATAAAAAAAAATATATAGTTAAATTTTAATAATTTATTTGATTTTTCTTTAAAAAAGGGCAAAGTTTCGCTTAAATTATCATTTTTTCCATTATTAATAAATAAAATATAAAAAATCATATAAAATATACCTTGTACTTCCATATCAAATGCCATAAAATAAAATGATAGCATCTAAATAAATTCTCAAAAAATACTTCATTTTATTCTATAATTTTCATACCTGAAAATTCTCCCAAGCAACCCTCTTCTTTTCCTCAGGCTAGCTAGACCAAAAAAGCACTGGCTCATCATACAAGTACTTCCATACTACTGTGGTAGTCCTCCCAAACCTCTCATGGTTGAATGTACCTCGACGATTAAGGCTAAGCAGCTTCCTTTGACTCGGGTCTACAGGAGTGTCATCTCCTTTATCCATGCCATGTCCTGTCTTTGGGACAGCACGTGATAATTTCTCCTCCAACTAAGCATCTAACTCAGTATCAAGCACAGCAAACTCAGCATCCAACTCAGCCAAGGTACTGGTCATCGTCCAATGGTGGCTGGGTAATAGTGGGTTACTCCTACTGCAGTTGTGTGGGAAGCTGAGTCAAACTAGAAAGTTGTTGCTGTGCAGGAGGTTGGCTCAAGCTGGGCAGTTGTTGTGTAGGAACAACCCTATAAGGCCCTCGAATAAGACGACAAAGTTGCCTTTGTGGTTCTCCTTGTGGTTCCCTCGAAGAAGAAGATGCACTTCGAGTACCTGTATACAAAAAATAATGGAAACACATCAACTTCCTTTTCATTAAAGAAAGCAAAATTTTTAAAGAATAAAAAAAACAACAAATAAAAATATTACATTAATAATTTTTAGGTTAGATAAAAATATAACAGTAACCAAACTCATTAAATAACTTCAATAGTTTAATACAATATGAAAAAAAAAAAATCATACATTTGATTAAAATGAGAATTTAAAAAATGAGAAAAAAAATGAAAAGTATAAATATCATTACATACCTACATATATATAAGTTTATATAAATATATAACTATAACTTCACTATAAATATCAATATAAATAATTATAAATTTATATTGATATAAATATAAATATAAAAAAGTCATTAATTTATTAACTTATAATAAAGAAACTATAAGTAGTCCTTCATCCCTTCTTCAATTAATTAAAAAAATCAAATAAAATACATCTAGTCACTATCACTCTCGATTAAGTAATTTGGAACTTTTTCTTCTGATGTTTCCCTTCCATCAAACTCTTCCTCTTCATCCTCATCCTCCTCCACACATTCTTCCTCTACCACATATGGCAATTGCATGACCTCACTAATCACCACTTGTTCTCCTCCTTGAGATCTTAACGAAACATGATCATTTAAAATAGTCTAGGGTTGCACCAATTGTGGCATAAGAGGATCATTGTCTTGATAATAATCATTTCCACCATCACTCAATGATGAAGTGTCAATTATTGCTCTTACTCTAATCTTACATGCAGCAAACCACCCTTTTCTACAAGGATTTTGAGATGGATAAGGGGTGTAAAACACTTGCTAAGCTTGACTAGCCAATATGAATGGTTCATTTGTTGTAATTTAAATCGAGGATTTATATCAACTATACCAAATGTCGGATGGACCATGATCCTTTTGTTGATATCATACTACTTACACTTGAACAAAATCACTGATTGATGAAGATATGAGTCAAAATATTGAAGCTCAATTATTTCCTTCAAACTCCCATAATAATCTAACTCATCATTGAAAGTGGTTCCTTTCACAAGAACACTGCTATTCCTGATCTTTTTATTTTGTCCATATGCGATAGTATGAAACCAGAATCCATTAACCCAATAACCATTGTATACCCTAACGTTATTCATTGAGCCAATTACTAAAGGCAAAAGGCGAGGATCAACCTCATATCTTCCACTACACACTTACATTTGTTTATAAAAATATTTAATATTTAACCCTAAAATATATAAAAATTGAGATATTAATAATAAAAATTATTAAAATAAATTACTTATCGTTGTCTTAAACCAAAGAATAAATTCAAGTTGCCATTTGATTTGAATTTGATCTTCTGATAGACCAAAACATACTTGATAATCAAAAAGCCTACATAAAGAAGTTGGAGTAAACAATCTATTTACATACTAGTAACTTTAAAAAATGAAAGTTAGAATTAGAACATATGCAATCCATGGATTAACTTCTTCACAATTAAGCAAAACATAAAGTTCTGCTGCCTTTAATTCTTTGGGTGACAGTGCATGCCTACGCATTTCTCCACCTAGTGGTTGACCTCGATGTTTAAAGAAAAACAAAAAATTATCCATATCATCATTCCTGTTGACAATGTTTCTTGGTTGACGATTCAATCTTGTCTCTATGTCAGATCTAAAAATAATGCGAGCAAAAGAAAGTAATTTCTAAAATAATATTAGACTTGCAAATCGAAGCTTCAACATGATTTTTGTTCGACATTGTTTTCTTAAGGTCATGCATTTTTCTATTAAACAAATAAAAAAATGAATTAATAACATTAAATTATTAAATATGCTCATGAATGTTATTGTGATGCAAAAGGTATATTAGAAGAAATATGCCTTTCAAAAGGATACATCCAACAGAATTGGACAGGTCCTCCAACTTTTGCCGCATATGGTAGATGGATAGCCAAATGCTCCATTGAGTCAAAGAATGCTGGCGGGAATACTTTTTCTAGCTTGCAAATGATCTCAACAATTTTTTTCTCCCACATCTCCATGTTACTAACTTGAATAATCAGAGCAGTTAAAGCTTTAAAAAAGTTACTAATCTCAATTAAGGGACCCCAAACTTCATCTATAAGGAAATCACGGAAAGTGATTGGCAAGAAACGCTGCATGAATACATGAAAATCATAGCTTTTCATCCCAAACAATCGAATTTCTTGCATGTTAACACATCGTGCTATATTGGATGCATACCCATCTAGGAATCTCAATTCCTTCAACCACTTACAGATAAGAGCCCGTTGCTTTCAAGTAAGAACATATGTAGCATTGGGTTTTATAGCCATTCCATCATCTTGAGGTATCAATTCTAATTTAGATCTATTGCAATACAATTGTAGATCCAATCTAGCATTTGTGTTATCCTTCGTACAACCCTTGTCATCCATGACAGTATTTTTAATGTTTTTTAAAAAATTCTTCTCACAATGCATGATATCAAGATTATGACAAATCAATAAATCCTTCCAGTATGGCAATTCCCACAATATGCTATGTTTCCCTTGCCTTACTATTTGGCTCCTCAGCCATTAGCCTCTCATTATATTCAAATTGTGCACCCATTGCATCAACTACCATTTCATGGTACAATGCATCTACCTCATTTCTAACAAACTCCATATTAGAAGATTCCCCTTCAAAGTTTCTTACTGTATTGCTGGATGTCTTTCCATGAACATAGCATGTATAATAGTTATTCATAAACCCATGCTTACACAAATGCACAAAGACAACCTCAAGGTTCCCCCATTTTCTACATTTACATTTCGAAC